ATCCCGAATCGCGATTTTCCCATAATCGCGAGGCACGTCCCCTTCCTCCGTCACCAAAACGAATGCTACCCTCCCGCGAATGATTTGCGTTTTACGACCGAACGCAAACTGGGCAGGTCAGTTTCACGCTTCGAAAAATGTTCTATTGTGAACGTTTTTTCTGCGCCTCGCAATATCTACAGAAATTTTCCCGCGATATTGAATTACAGCTAATTTTAACACGATAAATTATATAATCAAATAATTATGGAGTACGTGACTTGATCGAATGTAATCGTTGAAGGTTAACGCGATTTCTCCGGAGGAACGTGGTCAGCGAATCTTGCGCACACGTATTTGTCACGCTCGGTGTTCAGTAGCGTTTATCGTACATTGTCATTCCACGGTAAAAAATGACATTCCCATAAGTCACCCGCGATCGTTGTTAACGTGGTTTATTCAGGGCCAGATTCCGTCGCAGATAAGCAGAAACCATTCAGCCGCGACGGGGAGAGAGCAGCGCGCGCGCACACGGCCCGTGTGCCGTTTCACCCCAAAAAACCAGCCTGTGAAATAAAAATCTCGGGGAAACCGGGCAAACAAAGATTAATTTCCGCCGGTGTCACGAATGAAAATTGTACCGGTTTCCGGGCCATCGATCACCGCGGGGGTAGCAAAACGCCGTCGCTCGTTCGCTGCGGTGTTGCACCGCAAGAAGTGCGCCGGCAGAAGCGATCCGAAATTAATCTAATTAGCTGCGCAATTATAGCAGCTGCAGACACGGCGACGTCGACGTCGTCCCGTTCTTATCCGCACCCGCGTCCGCACACATGTGCGCTGCGGAACCCCCGGTGGCGGCGAAGCCGCGCGCATTATTGGATCCGAAGGGGGTGCATTACTCCATACGCCTGCCTGCTACTCCCGGCGCGGCGTCGTGTCTAATTATTCGAAATAATTATGCGCACATGTGCGGACCGCGCCGCTTTTCGCTAACGCATCGCATAGACTTGACGAGACGCGACGCGACGCATCGCATGTGTGCATCGTCAGATTTACCACATCTCGCCTATAAGTGATTTGCGTATTTGCGGCCGCCGCAAATATCGCAATCCTGCGACAGACAAGATCATTGATTGTAGCGCGTTGATACTCTTCGTACAAATTAATTGTCACATCGAGAGGGAGGAGAAGGGATGGGGGAAAAACGTGCGCGTGCGTGTAATCATTGTTGTTGTCTCGCGAATTCTTCCGAATAATATGTCCAGAACCGGGCGCGTATATTGTTCGCCACGAGATTGATTACACGGCGTAATGGTGACGCACATTTTTTTATTTCCTAAAACATTTCAGGTCAGGGATATACGTGCTTTCCAGTTTTGGGAAATGAAATCCAGTTTGCCGCTGGCAAATAGGTTTGCTGGAAACGCGATCCGTTTGGTAGCAATCTTTAATTTCTGGCTTACCGACATAAATGGATTTGATGAGCAAACCCCGACCCGTAACCATGCGTTGTCGGTTAGTAAAGCTGGTTAAGTATGTCGGCGGGAGCAGGAGTTCGATTACCATTCATTAAATTGTGGCGGGGACGTGCGTATATGCGACACGCGCGGAAGTGGCGATCTATAGTCTCGTTGCTATTGTTGCTACCATTGCAATTATTGCTGATGTTGGAAGAATTAGCGCTGTCATTGGAATTAATGTCGTCATTGCTGGTGTGGGCGCTCTCTAATTATTGCTATATCGCCGCGATGATTCCGCGATCGATTGATTCTGCGTGCGCGCGCGCGAACTCCTTTCCATTTCAAGCAGTGCTGGAATTTTTTTAGATTTTTATAATGTATTCTGCTCGCTCACTTTTTTTATTCGCAACATCACGGAGTTCCTTTAGCAAAGCGACACAAAAACTTCAGTTATTTATACAAATAATATAATTTTATTTGTGCAAATTTCACACACATATTATATGACGGTGTAAACTGCTGGTTTGAACTAAAGAAGATACACTGACTTTTATTTAAATAAGTTATTGTTCGTTTATGTAAACGTACCGTTCACTATAGTGACGTTCTCTTGCATCCAAGAATTGATGCACTTGGGAAACACCTCGAAATGGCACTCTAACGTTATTTGGTGGCCTTCTTGTACGGCCACTAATTCGTTCTGGATCCAAATCACTGGAGTAACTGTTGACATCAAAACAAACGTGAGAAAATATATACGATAATTTATAACTAGGGTAAGTCAAAAATTATCTACACTTTTGTTTCCACAATTTCTTCCATAAAAATAGGGGTTCAACAAGTACATCATTTTTCTACACAGTTTCCTTGCTTTTCAATGCACTTGGTCTAGCAATCCACAAGCTTCTGAAAAAAATTGTGGAAACAAAAGTAGATATAATTTTTTATTTACCCTAGTATATATAACCGTTCGAATAAATTAGATAATACATTTTCAAGCTAATTTTCATTCATTTCTTAGCTACTTACAAAGTACATCGAACATAATTCTCTTGCCGACTGTTGGCATTACGCCGTTGGACGCGATGCAAAGATACGCTCCCATCTGCAACCTGTTCACTTTCGTGATATTGAAGACCGGTCCATCAATGCTGGCCACTACGACAGATAGTTTGAGCCATTCAAATCTCAAAATGGATGCAGCCGTTATTAAGACTAATTATTATACTATACTAGAATGAGAGGTGTCACATCGTATTAACAATTATTGTGCAAAATGTCAAGGATAATAGATTACAGTTACAAAATCGTAAAATTAACCTCTCTTCTAAATCTCTTTCGCATCCCTTATATTTTTATTTGGTCTGCTTGTGCAAATAAATATATTTTCTATAATATTTGATTTCACAAATTTAAAAGTTTACCAAAAAGTTGTAAGATCCTACCAAAACTCTTTTTTAAAAAAAGAAAAAAATTATGCCAAGTATTGTACGTTACATCTTTCTTAAACCAAAAATATTATTTTAACAAATAAAAATTGTCCAAAAACAAATATGAGATCATACAAGTTGCCAAGTATTTGATTAGAAACAAAAATATTTTTTTAATAAACCGTTTAACCATCCAAAAGTATATGCAGCAAAAATTTAATGTCATTGTCTTTCCAAATAATTTTAAGTTTGATAAAACAAACTTAAAGTGATTAAAATGACCAATGGGATCATAATGAAGCCAAAACTTGGCATGCCCGTATTTGTATATACATTTTATTAATTAATAATGCAATCCGGACATGCCAAGTTCTCTTAATTGTACATATAAGACATCCTGTAAGTAGTTTACCTTTCTGGCTGTTTTCGAGAATAATCAACTCGCTGTCTTCCCTCCTCCAGGTGATGTTCGGTGTGGGCATCCCTATTGCTTCGCAACGCAGCGTAACATTGCTGCCCTCCCTCACAACCATATCTGTACTCGTGGGATAATTTAAAATATTCGGCGGAATTGTCGGATAAAAATTCTGATCAGGAATCCTTACATACATACATTTTCACGGCCGATTCACGTAGGTCGTAGGTATATTGAGCAGTTTTATAAAAATAATACAAGAATATAAATACGTCGAAGTCATAAAGAAAAATTAGACGGAGAGTTGGCTACACGGATTTCAAAATTACTCGGTACAAGTTCCTATCTAAAAAGGTTCGATTAGTATCGCCATTAACGAAAACGCACTTCTGCTGCGCCGTCCCCAGGGATGTAGGTGTGGGCGGGGCGGACAAACATGTAAATTTTCATAACTCATTAAAAGTATTAGTACAATGCTGAAACTTTGTAAAATAGTGTCTAATGTCCCGAACAATGTATCACAATGGCAGCAATCTAAGTAAGGGATAAAGCACCGGCAGAAAGGGTTAAAGTTGCGCAAAATTAATGGAAATTTAAAGTACTTGGTACAAGCCTGAAATTTTATGTACATATTGTTTGTACCTTTAAAAAGCAATATGCAAAATGGCAGAAGTCTAATTGGGGGATAAGACCTTGGCAGAAGCCCGTGAAAAGCAGAGTTTGCGCACTGCACTCTCAGCAGACGGTTGGCGATTCATTTTTTTAATTTTCTTAATCTTCTTTATTGCAATGCAAAAGCTCATATTCAATTAAAACGTTACTAAAGGCAGCATTGTAACAAATTATTTATAAATTTAATTTATTTTATTTATAGTAAAACGAGTGAAATTGTATGTCATTTACGTATATAAAACACGTTAACGGAATAATAATTTGATACTTTATACTGTTGTGCCCGGGAGTTGGGCACAAGAGGATCCGACTCCGCGGGGGAACGGGACTTCACTTTTCAATAAATAACTAACTCCGACACTCGGTGTAACTTTGAGAATATAGCTGCCTTTTTTATTTCACTTTATTTCACAGCTTTAATTTATTTAAACACCTTCACCTTAGCGATTACAAACAGACTTAATTTAACGACGCGAACGTTGTGATCGATCGTGATAAGACGAACGTAAAGACTGACCGCCCGCGGCTTGTCGTCGCGCGTACTTATTCTTTGCGCGTTGCCGCGTCAGCGCTAAGCATTTCAGTGATGGTTATTGCGCGACTGTTCTCGGTACGCCGCGGTTAACGTCCTTTGCTTCAATATGATTTTTGAATATAATTATTTTGCTTACGTTACGCCGAACGCCTAGTCGGCTCAAATAATTGTATAGGTTCTTTAGAATGCTTACTGCCGCGAGGGCATCGGCCTCGCGACAATACTTATAAATTATAAGAAAATTTAAAAGACAATGAACTCCTTAATTTAATCAAATATAATAAAAAATATATGCCCATAAGATCCCAACGCAGAACAAAATTTTACATTTTGTGAGGGACATGTATAGAAATATTTAAAAGTAAAAAATACGACCGAATTTTTTTGTTATTATGCATAGAACATTTCAGAATGTAACTTGAATCTTTATTTATTTTGCAATAATTATTCAGCACCATCGTCATCGCGGCCAGCTGAAAGTTCCTCTGACGATCAATTAACAACAGCGTCTTCACAGTATATCTCCGATGTCCTTTGATATTCCGACAATTTCGTCAGAGAATTTTTCCACTGAGCCATCCACAAGTCAGATTGCAGATAAATCATCAGATTTACAAACTGAAGCAACTGTCAAAAGTCCTTGTTTTTTTTGCAATCAATATCGTATAAGGCGCAACAAACGTATAGTGGTAATGCATAGTTCCAATGAACAAAATGTGAAAGAAAAGATAAAAAGTAATGCTATTGCTTTAAATGATAACAATATTCTTCAAAAACTGAGAGCTCTTGCACCGAATAAAGAAATTAATTATCATAATACGTGCAAATTGACATATTTAAAAAAACACATATTAACACCTATACCAAAACATACAGATTAGCATGTGAAGAGAAATTTTCATGAACAAACATTCACAAAATCTTGCAATTTCGTGCAAAAGACTGTTATAAACAATAAAAAATGTGTTTTGTTATTTATCTATGATTATTATACATGTACATTAGAAAAGCTGTACAAATGTGAAGCTGTTGATACTACTTTCACTCCTTAGTATCTACTAAATAAATTAAAAAAAAAGTTTGAAAATGAAATACAAATACTAGTAATGCATAACAAGAAAATTATTGCTCCAAGCACCAAATGTGTTATCAACAAAGAAACTTTTTCACAACTAGTAGAATCTGAATTATTACAACATGCAGCATTCATTTTAAGAAGATGCATTTTATTCATTTCTACAAAATTTTTGCCGAATAATATAAAACCAGCTGATTTGATTGCCGGAGAATGTGACATTCCCAACAATGTTTCCGAGATTGTGAGAGCTCTGATTTGTGGAAGTGATCGAAGAACCATAAAAAGTTCAGAATGCATATGAAAAGTTAATTCTTTAACACAAGATTTGATTTATGCAGTTCACCACGGTAAAATCAAAACTTCAAAACACACTCGGAATGACTCTAAAAAGTATCACAAGCAGCAGAAGAGTTATAGATATTATAAACAAATATGGGCACTGTTGCAGTTACAATATAATCGAGGAGCTGAAGCAACATTTGCTTCCAGTAGCAGATCGAATATTTGTCCTGAAGATGTAAAATTGGTTCCTACTTATTGTACAGGCGTTGCTTTTGACAATTTTGATAGATACGTTGAGACTTGCACCGGTAAAGATACATTACACGACACGGTAGGAATAATATATCAAAATGTTCATACAGATGATAATGCTGATTTGTGTGAAAATGTCATCAAGGATGATGTACCTTCTCCTTATAAAATAAGAAGATGCTATTGCTCCTGAATTATCATCGTATGTAAAGAAACATAAAGTTCTTGAACATTTATTACCGAATGATCATACATTGCGTCAGACGATTCCAAGTAATTATGAATTCACGAAAAAGTTGGATGCTCTGTGGGTTTTATCTCATTATTGCAAGATACCAAGAACGCCTATGTGGGTAGGCTTTAACAGTCAAATAATAAAAAACACCACCTTAAAGCAGAAGATATTTTATTTTACCCCTATCAATGTTTCACCAACGGACACATCTGTAGTATATGAAACAATGAGGCAAAGCCAAAAAATGAGCCAAAAAGCTGATAAATGCCAACAAAGATATATGCAAGTCACTTATGACTTAGTAATTGCGAAAATTGCATACCAAATTCAATCGACTGAAAAATTTGACAATTTCTTCATTCATCTGGATGCTTTCCACATTATGATGGCTTATTTAAGGCAGTAGGAAAATTCATAGACGAATGTGGGCTAACGTATATGATAGTGGAAAGCGACTTATTAGCGAGCGGCTCGATTAACGGATTCATAAGTGGAAAACATTTTAATCGGTGTAAACCCCATGATAGCATTAAGGCTACAAATATTACATTTTGAAAATTATTTAAATCAAAAACAAATCAAAGTTGAAGCTGTCGTCAAATATCTTATCAAACATTTTTGATAATGAAGTTGTGGCTTTCATTAAGAACAAGACCATTTTTCTCAATTTTGATAAAATGCTATGTCTACACAGTTCAAAATGGAAATGTTACACAAACTATTAAAGAAACATTTACGTATGAAGACCATGAAGAAGCGGAGACGAAGATTATTTATCACGCCTGTAATATTCACAATGACGCAAATATTCTCATAAAAAGTTCCGACACCGATATTTTTATCATTATGCTCATGCATCATTTGAAGAGTAACTTCAATATTTGGCTACAAAGCGGACTGTCGAATAATTTGCGATATATTAATTTAAATAAACACTAAAAATCAATTGGATATCAAATATGCACGGCGCTTCTAGGATTTCACTCACTGTGATTATATTCCTGTTTTTTACAGGAAGGGGAAGAAAAGTCCTCTAAAAATGCTACGGAAATTTGAAGAATATCATAAAGCATTCACAGACCTAGGAGATAATTGCAATAACGACAAGAACAAGACATTCCAAGTTTTGGAGAAGTTTGTTTGCGAAATGTACGGATTAAAATCAACACAAGACATCAATACTGCCCGTTTTCATTTATTTTCAAACGCTTACAGCGTAAAAAATATTAACAAACCTTTAAAAAAAAACATTTAAAGAATTTAGATTCAGCCAGTTTACCGCCATGTAAAACAGAACTAATGTAACAACTGTTAAGATTACGGTACATCGCAAATATATGGCAAAACGCACACATGAAAGTTCTCACTGCATTAAAGCCCGAAGATTGTGGATGGCTCCAAACTGACAATAAATATGAATTTAAATAGTTCGAAAGACATCAATTACCACCGTATGTGAGAGACATCATACCGGACGTTGAAAATGATAATGGTAATATATTAATTCTTACATTTATTTTAAATTATTAACTAAAGCGTATTTATAATTTTTTATTTCTTATTTCCAGATAAGAGCGATTACAATAGCGACGAAGATATCTACGACTGTGAAGAAAATGAAAATATGTAAAATAGACTAAAATGAAATCAACATTTCATTATTTTTAAATAGTAATAGTAATGTTTAAATTATTTTAATATTAAATTATTTATTATTGTAATTTTAAGTATAAAGTATTTTATTATTATTCCGTTGACGTGCTTCATATGCGTAAGTGACATACAATTTTACTTGTTTACTACATATTTTAATATTGCATTTATTATTGTAATTTTAAGTATAAAGAATTGTTTATTATTATTCCGTTGACGTGCTTCATATTCGTAAATGACATACAATTTTACTTATTTACTATACTTTTACGATACTTTATTATATATTTTATTTTTGCTACACTACACTATATTGTTATTATACTTTACTTTTATATTAGTATAAATAAAATAAATTAAATTTATAAGTAATTTATTACAATGCTGCCTTTAGTAACGTTTTAATTGAAT